TGACAAATTAAAATTAAAAAAACACAAAGGAAAAAGTTTTTCTTGTTTTTAAATATTTTAATGGAAACATGTCTAGTCAGATTTCCAAAACTGGGCTAACAGTGTTTACATTGTGCCAGTATACTTAAGAAGCTGAATGAAATAAATAAATAAAACAAATAAAAGTATCTATCTTTCAAAAATAAATGTGATACAAAAAGGAAACCTTTATTCTAAAATGATTTCAATTTATTGACCAAGCTACAGGATAAAGAAAAATCATTTCAAATTATGTTTTTCACCTCCGCAGCAGTGCTTGAAGTTGATGGGCTCTCCCAGAGAGCGTGGAAATCTTAAGCAACTCTCAATTAGCCCTCAATTTCTCTATTTTAAATTAATCTGCTGACCTGTGGTCGTTAAACAACCATAAATTCTGCACCAGCTGAGAAATATTTAATTTTTTCTTCTAGGGGGAGTGTGTGGGTGTCTGCCTGCAAAGGAGGGCTAACCCCTCTTGGCCTTTGACCAAAAAGTGTTGACGGTTTTCTACGTAAATGCTTCTTCCTATCCCTGAAGCTTTTTTCTCTTTTATGCTGTCTTTTTTCCATCTATTCTGCACCTAAAGCCGGGGCCCCCAAATTCTGGCTCGTCCCTTGACCCTTGTCCGATCCCATACAGTTCCCCCAATTTCCGCGCGGGGTGACACCTGAGGGCCGAAGGCGAGCCCCTGCGGCTGGCGCTAACTAGGCGCGAATAGCGCAGACGACTGTCATTGGGGAGCAGACGTGGGCCAAAGCCGAGGTGATTTCTGGCTGCTCATCGCCCGGCCCCGCGTGGCTGAAGGTCTCCGAGCCCCTCGGTCCGCCCAGGCAAGCCAGGCGTGCAGCTGTCGCGGTGCAGGAAGCTAATCGCGGCCTTTGGGCCGCTTTTGACAGACCGGGCAGGAAAAGAAAGGGGCTCACTGCGACTAGCAGCCTCACCCCTTCGGCTAGGAGACCCCCCAGAGCGAAACCCCCGCCACGGCCAGAAGGCAAGCGAGAGACCTCGGAGCCGCCGCCACCGACTCGGCCCAGCCCAGCAGGGGCCCGCCCAGGGGCCACTCCCCAAGGGAGGCAGCCAGTCATTCGCCCGCCCTTCCGGGCCCGCTCCGGAGGGGACGGTCTCCCGCCCGCCCTCACACAGCTACCTCCTCAGGCCAGGCCCTCAGGATTTCGTACACCTCTCACCTTTGACGACTCGGTCAGCCCCGGGAGGGGGCGGCGGGGGCGGGGGTGGGGGCGGTGCAGCCCGGGCCGGCTCCGGGGCGG